TTTTTCTTTCATGGTTAGAAACAGTTCGAATCTAGGGTAGTTTCTCCTTCTTAATACTGGCGACTCTTCCCTTTTTCACCGGCTGAGTTGAAGAAAATTGGTCCAGTAGACTTCTTTTGATCAAAGGACTGATTTCCTGCTCTCATTCTATGTTTACTGGCAATAAGGGTGCATTAGGAGAGTTAACTTCATCATTTGCCGATGCATCCTAATAGGATATTAAAAAAAAAGTTTAGGAATAGGAGTAGTAGCTCATCTAGGTGTTAAATTGTAAGTGTATAAGATTATAGGGGTGAGCATCGGTCGGTTACGGTCAATAACCGACTATATTTTTTAACTCCCTATAACCGACCGTAACCGACCGACTATTCGGTCGGTTATTGCGGTAATCGAAAAACCGTGAACTAACATTAAATTTCACTGAATATTAAAAATAAAAATAATAAAACATACATGATTATCAAAGTATTTAATACTTAAACAACTGCCAAGTGCCCAAGTTCATAATTCATACTTCCAAATAAATACTAAACATACATTCATCACTGCCAAGTTCTTAGTTCTTAGAAGTTAGAATCATAGTTCATAATCATACTTCCAACTTTCCAAGTTCCAACATACCAACACTGCCAAATCTGCATAGCCAAAGTCCAAAGACCCAAAGTTGCATACAAATTCAAAAAGAAAAAAAAAAAAAAAAAAAAAAACCAAGTTCCAACACTGCCAAAGGCCCAAATGCCAATCACAAAGTGCCAATCTTCATCAAGACCTGCTTACTTGCATCCAAAAGTTAATATATGATATATGAATATTATAATTAAGGAATAAGGGCCAAATTGGCCACGGAACGTAACGCAAAAGTGCAATCAGACCACTCAACCTAAAAAAACGTTCAATCACTCTATTCAACCGCACAAATCACTCCAATTTCACCGAGTAGCCGGTTCTCATCCCTTCTTCCGGTTGCTCGCTGATGTGGCTCACTTAGGTGGCATTTTTTGGCAGTCTTCTTTTATTTTCTTATTTTTGGTTTCTTCCAGCGTGTAAAATGATTACCAAAAAAAACCCAAAGCCCTAAATAAATTACTAAATATCCTAGTTGAAGGAAATCCCCAAATCAAACGAAATCTCCCAATCGAAGGAAATCAGAAATTACTCTTGTGTTGTTGGTTTGTTGTTTGAAGAGTTCGAAGGCTTCCACTGCACATTTTCAGTGAAGGTATGAATTTCTTAGTTATTTTATAGTTGGGTCTGGGTTTATTGTTTGTTTTTTTGTGAAAAGCATGTAACTTTAACTTTGTTTGTAAATTGAAATCCCGACATCTCTGATGTGAGTTTGGTTTGCTATGTGGTTTCTGTTTTGTTGTGTACTATGTGGTCCATCTTTGTCGAGCATTGCTTTAGTTTGTTGTGCATTCTTTAATGGAATATAGAGTCATTACTGTGGTCCCTAAACAATAAGAATAAAGTAGAAAAATGGTTGCATTGTTGGGTGTAGACCTATAATTGGCTTGGATGGCTGTTTTCTCAAAGGAGTTATGAAGGGTGAGCTCTTAGCTGCTGTTGGGAGGGATCCTAATAACCAAATGTATCCAATAGCTTGGGCAGTTGTTGAGATAGAAAATACAGATTCTTGGACATGGTTTTTAGAGTTATTGATTCAAGACTTGGGTATTAACAACAGCTGGAACTGGACAATCATTTCAGATCAACAAAAGGTACTTTTCCTTACTGCTTTAGCTAGTGATAGGCTTACTAACTTTCTGTTTCAGTTTTATGGAAAATAATTCTACTCTCTGTTTTTGTTTGTCTAGGGTTTAGTGAATGCAATCGAGGAGCTGCTGCCAAATGTGGAACATAGGAACTGTGCAAGACATATACACGCAAATTGGAGCAAGAAACATAGAGGAAAGGTTTTGAAAAGGCACTTTTGGATGTGTGCAAATGCAACCACTACACAGCAGTTTGAAGCAATGGTTGAGCAACTAGGATTAAAGGATGCACAAGCTAAAGCTGATTTGGCCAACTATCCTGCTAAGTATTGGTGCAAGGCTTTCATGAGAACTGAAGTGAAATGTGATTCAGTAGACAACAACATGTGTGAGGCATTTAATGGAACAATTGTTAAGGCAAGGAGCAAACCAATAGTCCAGATGTTGGAAGATATAAGGGTAGCTACTATGACAAGGATTGCAAGATGCAGAAAAGAGGTAGAGAAATGGCCTGGTAACTTTGGACCTAGGATAATGAAAAAGCTCAATGAGAACATTGTTGAAAGTATAGGTTGGCATGTTGACTTCAACGGGGATGATGGCTATGAAATCAAGAAGGGAAGACAACAATTTAAAGTGAAGCTACAACGGAAAACATGTTCATGTAGATCTTGGGACCTTACAGGTATACCTTGTGCACATGCATGTTGTGCCATATTTGATCTAGGTAAAGATCCAGAGCAATACATTGATGAATGCTACTCTAAGGAAGTTTACAAGAACATTTACACTCACACTATCCAACCACTCAATGGTGAAATCAGCTGGCCTAGGACTAATTCTGAAGAAATACTAGCCCCTTTACCAAGGCCAATGACTGGTAGGCCAAAGAAAAAAAGAACTCGTGAGCCTAATGAACCCCCTGTTGGGAAAATTTCAAGGCAAGGTCGAATTATGACATGTTCCATTTGTAAACAAAAGGGACATCAAAAGAAAGTTTGCCCTACAAAGAGTTCTATGCCAGCTGCTGCCTCAGGTGGTGGTTCTGTCTCAACTTTTATACTCAGTTACTTACTGATTTTCAGCTGTAATTGGCAAATAATTACAGTTTGTGTTTCTGTTTCTGTTTCTGTATGCCAGCTGCTGCCTCAACTTCTATGCCAACTGTTGCCTCACCTTCTAGGAGAAGTAAACAAAGGAAAATATCGGGTGGCTTTGGTGTATACATCAACCCAAATACTGGAGCACAAATATTAAATGTAAGTGAATTGTGGTTCTTAATTTTATATACTTTCAGATGTTATAATTAGTATGACTAATGTATTAAACTTTATGCATTATGTAGCCTGGACGAAGAGGACAACAAGTGCTATCAGTTGGAAGGAATACAAGTGCATTTGCCAAGAAGAATCAACAGTAGAACAATTTAGGGCATTTAGAATCAGTAGTGGCTATTTTGGCTATTTAACTGTGCAACAAAGTAGTGGAACAATCTTTTTGTAAGCCTATTTTGGCTATTAACTGTGAAAAGTTGTGATTGCTACTGCCAACTACCAACTTGTGGCCTAATATTTTGGTAATTGTATTTTGAATGGAGTCACTACTGGAAACTTTTGATTATAATGTTAATTAATGTGAATTAACTTTGGTAGTTTTGAAAAGTTACTGGTTTATGGTATATTATTGCTGAATTATTGTTTCGCAGCTTTGGCTTGGTTATGGTTGTTGCTTGATTCTTGCTGAATGATTGGTGCACTTGTTTATGGTTTATTTTTGTTGTTTGGCTTGGTTATGGACTTATGGTTGCTGCTTTACTGCTTTGCAATCCCAGACAGTGTATTTTTTAATTCCAGACAGTGCTTTACTGCAATACAAGTAGAGTTACTTACCAATTACAATTCTAATACTACTTTGCTGCTTTATCACCAAATTAGACTTCATGACACTCTATTTTTTAATTCCAGACAGTGCTTTACTGCAATACAATTAGAGTTACTTACCAATTACAATTCTAATACTACTTTGCTGCTTTATTACCAAATTAGACTTCATGACAGTGTTTTTTAATTCCAGACAGTGCTTTACTGATCTCCTCTCAAACATGACCAAATTAGAAAACTACCATTAAAGACATCCACATCAATAAACATGACCAAAATCAGATACACATAACACAACCATTCATATTCATATTCATATTCATCATCTACAGAATACAAGCAAGTCCATGTTTATTCATAAACTTAACATTAAACCATACAATTGCAGCTAAAATAATTACAACTCCAACACCTACAACTTTAGCCATCTTTACAGAATTATGATGGTCAATTCTATCAATTGTCTTCGTAGCTTCTTCAATTCTCCCCAATCTCGTTTGGACCACCAAAATTTCGTCTCTTAAACCTTCAACAATCCTTTTTAACTCCATTAAATCAAATTTGCTAGATTCATACTCTATGGCTCCAATTCCTTGCATAATATCCTCAACATAAATGAAAAATCCACATCCATTGCCCTGAAAAAATACGGTAAACCTTAATGCAAACTGAAAGAAAATATGAAATAACAAAAGTAAAAAATCTAACCTTCCAATTTTGACATCCAAAAAATTTTCTTCCACTATCCCGAACTGTGCATAATGGGGATTTCAACCCACATTTACAGTACAAACACGGCTCGTATTGGAGAGTATAATTGCGATTCGGAATTTTTGGAGAACTTGAAGACGACCTTGAATTAGAAAAAGTCATTGCAGTATGTTTCTTCTACACCTGCGAATAGAGTTTCTGTAACAAGAAGAGAAATAGATGAACAATAAGAGTTTGAACCAGTGAAGAAGAAAGGCAAAGAAGACACCGTATAGAGCTCCTAGGGTTTTTGGAATAAAGAAGAGAAAGAAGAGCGAAGAAGAAGAAGAAATGTCGTCTGATTTCGTTTGATTTAGGGATTTCCTTCAACTAGGATATTTAGTAATTTATTTAGGGCTTTGGGTTTTTTTTGGTAATCATTTTACACGCTGGAAGAAACCAAAAATAAGAAAACAAAAGAAGACTGCCAAAAAATGCCACCTAAGTGAGCCACGTCAGCGAGCAACCGGAAGAAGGGATGAGAACCAGCTACTCGGTGAAATTGGAGTGATTTGTGCGGTTGAATGGAGTGATTGAATGTTTTTTAGGTTGAGTGGTCTGATTGCACTTTTGCGTTACGTTCAGTGGCCAATTTGGCCCTTATTCCTATAATTAATACATAATAAATAAACATAAACATACAGTATTAACTTACATAGTCAATTATATTCTTATTGCATCTTGTTTTTCTAATCAATCACAGGATCCAACCTCATCTTTGACATATCTAAATCATATAAAAATACAAACATTAAATAAAGAAATAACAATAAGAAAATTATAATATTTAAAATAAAGTAATGATTTTGATACTCACCCACGTCAAGTTTATACATCTCTCAAACATCATGCTCAACTAAATCAGTCATTGAAATGACATTTTCTTCTCGTAACCAATCTTGAGTGCACACAAGAGCTTGTACAATTTTAGGAGTTAATGAACTCCTATAAGTATCAAGCACACGTCCACCGGTGCTAAATGCAGATTCAGATGCGACAGTTGATATAGGAACTGCCAATACATCACGAGCCATGCATGAAAGAATGGGAAATCTATGAGCATTTTCTTTCCACCAACGGAGAATATCAAATTCACCACCACCATTCTGAGTATCAAGCTCTTCATTGATGTATTTATCCAATTCGTTTTTTTGCTGCCCAAGTCCAATTTCAACCAAATACTTTTCAAAGTCAGTTACAATGTTTAGTGGACTATCACTATTCAACCCATCCGCATTAGTGGCACTCGTTGGTTGAGTAAAATTGCTACCCTCACCTTGTGAAACTTTCACCAACCCATGGTATTCAACAAACAACTTACTAGTCGCATCTCTAATGTTAGAAGACAATACTGAAGCTTGATCAGGTGAATACATTCTCTTGAAACAAAAATCAGCAAACACATATTTCCTTCTAGGGTCAAGAACAGTTGCAACATAAAGTATCATATTCATCCTCTCAACATTCCCCCAATATTTGTCAAATTTCTCCTTCATTCTTTTAGCCATAGCGCTAAACTGTTCGTCATCACTCTTAATCCAATCACACAAAGTACAATACAATTCATAAATTTCGGGAAAGTAAACATTGCTAGTCACATATGTAGTTCCGGAAACTTTCAATGTGAATTCATAGAAACGTTGCAAAAACTTGCTCACTTTCCTAACATTTCCCCAATCCTCTTCCTTGGGTGTGCCACCATTCAACACAAGCTCATGCTTATAATTGTGGTCAATCTCTTCAAATCTCTCAAATGCCCTTTCAAATTTTTGGGCCGCATCTAACATCAAGTAGGTAGAATTCCATCTAGTGCTACAATCCATGCTCAACAAAGATTTAGATTGAATTTTTTCCAAGTCTATACATTCTTTAAACCTATGCAATCTAGCCGATGATTGCCTCACATACTTCACTGCGGATCTAACACGAGCAATTGATTCATTCACTTCCTTCAACCCGTCCGTGACAACCAAATTAATAATGTGTGCAACACATCTCATGTGAATATATTTGCCCTCTAAGATAGTTCCACTAACATTGTTCAATTTCCTTTTCAAGTATTGAGTAGCCACATCATTTGAACTAGCATTATCCACGGTAATTGTGAAAACCTTGTCTATTGCCCAATCACGCAAACATTTTTCAATCATCTTACCAATATCCTCACCTTTATGACTATTAATTGGACAAAAATTAATTATTCTTTTTTGCAAGGTCCAATTATTGTCAATAAAGTGACAAGTAAGACACATATAATTTTCCCTTTGTAATGATGTCCAAGTGTCAGTGGTAAGTGATACCCTAAGTGAAGACATATGGATAAACTTAGACAAATTTTGCTTCTCATCCAAATACATACCATAACAATCCCTAGCAATAGTCCATCGTGATGGAACCTTAAACCTTGGACAAGCAATAGACAAGCATTTTTTAAAACCCTTAAATTCAACAAACTTGAAGGGGATTTCATGATTTATAATCATTTCAACAATGCTCCTTCTAAGTGCCTCAGCACTATACTTCACACAACCTAGTGATCCTTCCCCTTCAAGCAATTCAGTTTGGCTAGGGTCACTACTAGCACGGGGCATTTTTGGACAGCTTCTAACATGGGCTTTTAGTGAACTAGTGTCGTTCAATTTAGGATCAGCAAACAATTCTTTCTGACAATAATTGCATCTAGCTTTTTGCTCAAATTTCTCATTACTAAATTTAGTAAAATGCTCCCATACCTCAGATCTGTGTCGGCTAACATTTCTTTTCTTAGATTGATTTACTTCCTCATTAGCCTCCGTTGCAACAGTTTGTGCAATCTCTGGCTCTTTTTCAATTGAATCATCATCCATATTATCATCCATATGCATCGATCTCATTGTTAACATCTATAATTAAAAGAATAATTTAATACTAAAATTAAAAACTGAAAAAATTATTTATACTGCCAAATTAGTCTTCTTTAAATAAATTGAATTGTTAAGTTTGATTGCTTTGATGTCTCTTTGGATAAATGCAGAAATTAATACTACATACATACAATGATACAAGATTGGAGTAAAAGTAGGTTCCCAATTGGCAAACTACTGATGTAGACTACTAGACCATACTATCAAATTGTTCATACTGCCAAATTGTTCATAATTTAATACTAAAATTAAAACTAAATTCCTAATGAAATATTCATACTGCCAAAAATCCAAAATTAAAAGTTCATACTGCCAAACTTAAAAATTGAAAATTTTCATACTGGCTTAGAGTTACTTCCATTGTTAACCATTTCATACCTTATCATTTTGCAGTTTTAAATTTTAACTCGAATAGATTGTTAACTATATTTTAATATAAATTTAAAGTAAACAAAAATTAAAAATTGCCTTGAATAAATTTTTCAGTTTTGGAGCCTGATGAATCTGGATTTCTGGAGCCAAAACACTGCAAAATTTTTAAAAATAAATATCACTATGATTTTGTTTATATAAATGAAACTAGTGAACTGTGAACTACCAAAGACTTCAAATTCAACAAATATAAATTATAAAATTAGTATGTAACTTACCTTGAGAAATCTGGGATGAGTGAACTGAACTGTGAAGGGCTGAAGAATCTTAGGTGAGGCTGACTGGCTGGCGATGCGACGACCGGCGAACAGCCGAGCGGTGCGACGACCGGCGAGGCGGCGCTACTATGCGGTGAGGCGAGGGCTTTGACCGGAGAGATAGCGGCGCGGAGGCCGGAGAGGGACGGTAAAGACTACGAGAGGAGCGGCTGCGTTTGTGGTTCAATGGATTAGGGTTGTGAATTTGCAAATTGCGATGTGAGAATGAGATTAAGAGAGAGGGACGGACGGATGGTAAAGGACTTCTAGTCTTCTACACGTGTCTACAGTCTACCCACTATACTGTCTACTATAATACATTAATACTAATATACTATCTAATGTCTTAAATTAAATTATATAATTATATTATATATATATATATATATATATATATATATATATATATATATATATATAGTGTCGGTTATTCGGTGATCGCGGTTTTGAACCTACAATAACCGCTAGAATAACCGATTACCCGAATAACCGATATTTTTTTTGCTCTCATAACCGATGACCGACCGAAAACCGAAAATTTCGGTCGGTTCGGTCTTCGGTTTTATCGGTTTATCGATATTTATGCTCACCCCTATAAGATTACATTATCTGAGTCAGAATCTGCATAGTCTTCAATCATTTTTGAAATACAGTCTGTCTCTTGATCTGCACCTAATTTTGAGCAGTATGTAGCCACAATATTCTCATCATTGTAAATTTTCATGACAGAAAAACCAAAGCCATAATTCTGCTTCTTTTCCTTCTTGATTATAATCTTGAAAACCATTGTCTTTCCAATCATTCCTTCCACTTCTGTAGGAACACCAACACCTTCCTAAAGAACAGAAAAAATGTAGAAAAAGTAGCAGTATGTTAGGTCTAAGTATCAATAGAAAAAATGTAGAAAAATATTTATATACTTTACATGTTTGTAATTTGACAGCAAACTATCTGCTGTGATGCCAACAAGTTCTGAACACTCCCTATCCCACAGCAGGAAGGGAGCTTCAGTTGTTGCATCTGCGACCCTAACAATGACCCTGTATCTGACTGCACCATTTTGCCATGTTCAATGGCACGTACTACAGTATAGTTGTCCATTGGATGTAGTTAGCTTTCTATTACATCCACTGCCTTTACATGAAATGTAGTACCATTCCCCACGACCTTCAATTCCAGAAATCGTGGCAGGAACAAAGAAATCTCCACCCTGCTACCATATTTGCATAGTGCACAATAAGTTTACTTATAATTAATAATTAATAATAAGATTAGAAGTATATAAATAAATAAATAAATATGTAAATAGTAAAAAAAATGCACCTCTGTCTACTTATACAAATCTGAAATTGTAGTCATGATAACAAAGCCAGATATAAAGTCTTGTAGATCAGTTGTTTGTGAAACAATAGAGGTAGTACTTATACTCCTAACAGGAGTGCGTTCCTTTTGTAACCTATTAGTGAATAACATGTTTTTTTTTTTTTTACAACAGATATGGGCATAACTGATAGTATTGATTTGTACATAAATAATACATGCTTTTCATACTTGGCCTTAAATTCTGTAATTTCTGAATAACTGTGATTAAACCACAGTTTGGTTGCATCGTAGGAGCTTGTAATTCTCACCTCGCCTTAAATGAACATAGATTTGTATTAGAATTTAAATTAAAATTAAATAACAACAATTTATGTGAACAAACTTACCATTGACAATTTTAGACCTACACAGTTGTATTAAGAAAATTAGGGGCTCTTCCTGGGTTGTATTAAAATATGGGATCATTGCTTCCACATGATCGTCCCAGATTGTGCACTTCAGTTGTCTGTCCCTAATAGGTCGAGATTGAGCATTAATTACAAAATAATACTTTAATAGAGTAATTATAATTGAATTACGAATTTGTATTAGTTAATAGCAGTGGTATGGTTTTAGGTTAGTACTTACTCTGTGTCCTCTATTAAAAAATCCATAAGACGGAACTGTTTACCGGCAATTAGCTTCTCCACTGGTGAATGAATCTCAACAATACGACCTATTATGTCTAGTTTAACATAGAAAAACATTGAATTAAAGTATGAAACCAAACATTGAATAATAAAAAATTTAAAATTAACAAAAAAAAATTGATGACACAAAGAAAAGTATATACCAAATAATTCCTTGTCATTTAGATCTTTTGCATCCATCAATGACTCAAACGACTTTAATCGAAACATGAAATAAGGAAAGTTGTTGCTTTTACATTCCTTAACTGTGGTAGAGTAATTGAACTTTATAAGGTATTTGTGGGTGGATGTTTTGTAGGTGTAGTAGTTGGTCACTACTAAAAAGTTCTTGATGGAATAGACTTTTCTCTCAATGAACACAGTGCAATACTTAGCAACATCTTCCCTGGAAATAGTTCCATGGATGTAGGTCCCCTATATAACACCAATAAAAATGTAAAAATTAAAAAACAGGTTGAATATTTTAATATAAAATACCGTATTAAACTTACCTCTTGATCATGGAAGAGTAATTCCTTGCTCTTACTGGCCGCTGCTCCCCCACGTAATTGAGGGACTTCATAGGTTCTCACCAAGCGCACCCGGATAGCTCTCCGGGTGTGCATAGGACTAACTTGGGATGCAAGAATGCATTGAGAAACCATTTTTGCAGATTTTTTTTTTTACAGAGTTTGTTTCCTCAGAAAGTTACGTTGGTGAAGAACACTACCGGATTAGTGCATACTTATATTAATTTTTTGAGTAGCAAGTGTGCCTCTCCATTAATGCAACGTTATTAATTTCATTAGAGTATTGAACAATTTTCAAGGATCATTTCAAAATGGGTCTATACATATTCTGCAATTAGTATTAGGAAAAACTTATTATTATATTATTACATTCTTTTATATATATAGTAGTAATTGTAGTAATTGTTTTAACATTTGTTCGAATCGTTGGAATCCGCACAGCCGCATAGTTTGTTTATCAATGAATCGGCATATATACAAAGATTATATATATATATATATATATATATATATATATATATATATATATATATATATATATATATATATGTGTGTGTGTGTGTGTGTGTGTGTGTGTGTGTGTGTGTATATATATATATATATATATATATATATATATATATATATATATATATATATATATATATATATAAAATCTTTGTATATATGCCGATTCATTGATAAACAAACTATGCGGCTGTGCGGATTCCAACGATTCGAACAAATGTTAAAACAATTACTACACATGGAAAGTCGCAATGCTTTTTGAATACATGTCTATGTTATTTGCATTGTATATATCTTGAATCAATGTTATTATATTAAAATTGTTTTTGGAAATAATCACGTTGATACAAAATAACTGCGGCTGTGCGGATTCCAAGGAGTATAATAAAAAATAAAAAATTCAAAGAAATGTTAAAACAATTAATACACATATGGAAAGACGCAATATTAGTAATCTAATGGCTTTATAACTCAGATTCCTAAAACAGTTGAAACGACGCCGTAATATTTAGGCAGAAAAATGACATGGCAAAAACATTTTGCTATTATATAGAGTAAGATGGTGACTTGCAATATAGCTTTTAAATTTAGACCTTACTCAAAATAGTTTAGCTTTTAGGAGTTATGAGCTATGAAGCATGGACTTCAAGATTGCAGGTTTAGAAGAGTTTGGTGATGCCCGCCTTGGTGCATTGGTGTAATGGTGTAATGCAAGTGGTTAAGATATGTACCATTTGATATTTGAACAAATCCACTATTTAAAAAATTTTATATAGTTTATCTTCAGTTGTAACTCTCTTTTGGTGCATTGGTGTAATGCAAGTGGTTAAGATATGTACCATTTTATATTTGAACAATATATTTTAGTTCTATTAATCTATTTTTATGTATTTAAGGATTCAAGACTTAACAATGTAACATAACATAACATTTGATATTTGAAAAATATATTTATGTTTTCATTAAAAAACGGGGTGGGGAATCCTCGTCCCCGAAAAATCCCCGCGGGGACGGGGAACCCGTTCCCCACCCGCCCCGCCCCGCCCCGTTGCCATCCCTACCTACACTCACATGGTGGTAAAGTTGTTTAGAACGGTGCTGGTCAGAGCATGGAAGCATATGTGGACTACATGATAGTCAAAAATCACAAGGCCATCTCCCACGTCGAGGATCTTAGTGAGGTATTTTCCATTATGAAAAAATTTAATTTACGATTAAATCTAAAAAAGTGCACCTTCGCAGTCCATGGGGGAAATTTTTTGGGCTTTATGGTCACTATGAACGGAATAGAGCCGAACCCAGAAAAGGCGAAGACCATCCTTGACATGGAGCCCCCCGCGTTCCATAAAGGAAGTCCAAAGGCTCAACGGATGACTAGCGGCCTTAGGCCGATCTTTATCGAAGTCAGCCGAGCAGTCACTCCCCTTCTTCCAAACCTTGAAAAAAAAACAAAGGGTTCGAGTGGACCTCAGATTTCCAAAAGGCTTTTGAGGAACTAAAAAAATATTTGTTGTCACCGCCCTTGCTTGCAAAGCCAGAGGCAGGTGATACCTTACTCTTGTATCTGGGTGTGTCACAGGGCACGATCAGCTCCGTGCTGGTCAAAGAAGAAGGAGGGGCTTAGCGCCTCATCTATTACGTAAGCAAATCTCTGCATGATGCCAAATTGAGGTACACCGAGCTAGAGAAGACCGTATTTTCCGTCATTACCTTGTCAAAAAAACTAGTACATTACTTCCAAGCTCACCATGTCCATGTGCTCTCGCATCAGCCGCTAGGGAACTTCCTGCGAAATACTAAAAGCTCAGCCAGGATGGCAAGATGGGTCATGCACCTCAGCCAATTCGACATTGAATTCAGACCAAGGCTAGCCATTTAAAGGTTAGGCCGTTGTAGACTTTATAGTGGAATGAACGGCCCAGGAGATCACGGAATAGGTCGAGATCGAAGAAGGAGGGTGGTGGACTTTGTCCATGGACGGTTCTTCTAGCAGCAAGGGTTGCGGTGGAGGTGTGGTGCTCATCACTCCAGAAGGATTTCGCGCCTGTTATGCATCCGATTCCACTTCAAGCTATCTAACAATGAGGCGGAGTATGAAGCCCTCCTCAATGGGCTATGAGTGGAAAAGGTTCGAGTTTGGTGTAATTCAAAAGTTGGTAATCGGCCAGGTGACGGAGGAATATGAGGTCAATGAAGGTAGCATGCAGAAGTATAGGGACGTGGTGCTGAAAACTCTACGCAAATTTGATGGGTATGAGATCCACCAAGTGCTATGAGAGCAGAATGCTGACGTTGACATGCTCTCCAAATTAAGCACTGGAATCACCAATTACATCCGTAAGATCGCTCGACTAGAAGATCTAGAGACTTCAAGCATTGATGTCTCGTGGGTTTACCTTGTGCAGGCTAGGAAGTCGTGTTGGATCGACCATATTAGGAGATACAAGGCAGATGGCTCTTTGCCGGAGGACGAGGAGGAGGCGAAGTTAACAAGACCACGGGCACCTAGCTACATCATCTTGGACAATAAACTGTACAAGCGCTCCTATAATGGCACGCTTCTGAAATGCGTGTACCCGGATGAAACCGACACGCACTAGGGGGCATACACTATTGCGCAATGCATTGTGTTGCAACAGTTCTTTTGGCCCAAAATGTGTAAAGATTGCGCAGAATATGCCAGTTAGTGCCCTAAGTGCCAAGAATTCCAAACGCTACCGGGTCAGCCTGCAACCAACTACACCCTGGTGAGTACGACAATTCCTTTTTCAAGATGGGGAATTGACTTAGTAGGGGCTCTTCCCACAGGATCCGAAAGCAGAAAGTACATCATTGTGGCAGTTGATTACTTCACTAAATAGGTAGAGGCTAAGCCCCTGGCAAGCATCACAACAACTAGGTGCAAGAAATTCGTCGAAAAAAATATTTTATGCCGCTTCGGTGTTCCCCTCCAAGTGATCAAAGATAAGGACCGCCAATTTGAAGCAAGGGAGTTCTCGGAGTTCTTAGCAGAGTAGGGATCAAGCATAGCCGGGTAGCAGTATCTTACCCTCAATCAAACGGACATGTGGAAAACGCAAACAAGACCATACTTGACGGTTTCAAGAGAAAATTGGAAGTAGCTGGTGGAGCTTGGGTAAAAGAATTGGACAGTATCCTTTGGGCTTATCGCACGACACCGAGGAGGGCCACTGGTGAAACTCCATTTGCTCTCACTTATGGATTTGATGCCCGGGCTCCGGTGGAAGTGGTCATACCTAGTAGGAGGGTGGAGGAGTATTGGCTCATCATTACTAGGGAACCGTTACGAAGCAGAAGAACGTTATAGACTTTAGGATAAATATGAGACCCTTCATTAAGAAGAGGACAAGCTGAAGACTTGACTCAAATTTTAGCAAACATATTTCTTTCCAATATATTCCGGTAACATATTTACCGTCAATACATTAAGTATATACTCCCTCAGTCCTGATTTCCTTGCCTGATTTTCTTTTGGGACGCATTTTAAGTTAAAAAATAATGCAATTCGTTTTCCAATTTTTCCCCTATCTTTTCTCTCACCTTCCACTCACAAACCCACTAAAACATTTTTTTTTTAGAAACAAACCCACTAAAACATCATCAGATACTCTCACACCTTTTCATTCTCTCGTTTTTTCCTCTTAATTTCTTCTTTAGGGATTCTTTCTTCCATGGAGATTTTGAGATCTACATTGCCATACTTATATTGAAGATCTACATCACAATACGTATCTTTTACCTACTTTGTAGAGATTGAGATCAACATACATCTTCAACATATGAATATGGAGTTTGTGAAGAAATTGGAGCAATGAGTCTTGGAATCTTACAATCCTTTTACATAATTGATACCAAGGTTAGTGTTCTACACTCAATCTATGTGTTTTCCTACAAATAGTAATTTTGAAGATTAAAATCTTTGTAAAATTATTCATAGTTATCATTCAATCTAGGTTTTTTTTTTTTTTTTTTTTTTTTTTTTTTTTTTTTTTTAACATTGAGTAAATTAAAATGAAATAAATTTTGTTTGAATATCTAAATTAAAATTACAGAGCACTAAATTTTTGCTGCTGTAATTTTTTATTTATTTACTTGATGATTATACATAGCACTCTTTTTTACTCTTACTCTATACTTCTCAAAGAAAAATCAGTTTGTGTTTATATATATAATAGGATCACCAAAATTGAAAAAAATCGCGGCAATATATTTCCACAAAAAATTGAATTGACATTTACATATTAAAATAATCTACTACTCCGTAGGTTTATTTTATGGTCAATAGACTATTTAGTATACATTGTGTGTATGTATGAAGCATTTCTTTTTCAGAGTACTTTAGAGAGAGATTTTCTGTTTTAAAAAAAAAAGTTTTTTTCTGCTTGTGTTGTGTACTTAAAGTGCGCCAATTTAATGCTTAAGGTGCGTTCCTTTGCACAACTGCACGGGAACCCCTCCCCGCACCTGATCCCTTCCATATATATATATATATATATATTCAAAAAATTAATTGTAATAATTAAAAAAAAATAAACAACTCATGTTTACTTGTAATTATACTATTATTATAGTAATTATTAGCTTGATTAATAATTATTAGTCAATTACACTAATATCTGTGTAATTATTTTTTTAAGTACCATAATAATTATTATGAAAATATACTAATATTTTGCAATTATACTATTATTATACCTTTAGTATAAAAATATATAGAGAGAGATTAGCATAAAATTATCATAGTAATTACATGGAAGAATGATGATTATTAGGACTCATGTATTTAAGTCAGTTTATGATTTCTTATCCCAGTCATTTTGTGACTCTTCCTTGTATATATTTTATTGTCATTACTTTTTGTAGTGATCTTAATTTAATACAATTAATTCAGTTCTCATATAGTATCAGTTAGCTAGAGTTTTCAACTCCCATGATCATCATAATCCTACCACCAGAATCCTCCTGATTGCATATGCTGCCATTCTTCGATTGCGAATTGCGATGGCTAAAAGAAAAACCAAAAACTGATTTCACAAGATAAATATGATGGGTTGTGTGCTAAATGTTAAGGAATCGTGGGTGACGAGCAATTCCCCTCTGTCTCTGATTCATCATTGATTGGATAACGTGACTATGATAAAAGCCATTCTCCGTTACCACGTCAACAATAA